AAAGAAAAAAAAGAAATAAAAAATGAATGAATGAATGAATATAATGAAATGAATTTAAATATGAAATTAAATTCAAATGAAATAATAAAATAAAATTAAAAGAAAAAATATATATATATAAATTATAAATTATAAATACATCGATTCGATACAAAGAAAAAAAAATAAAAATAAAAATAAAAAATAAATAAAATTTCTATTAAGATCTCTGGCACTTGAATACGCTATCTGGTGGCTAAATTCAAGATTAGAGTAGATAGGTCAAATTGCTACGCAACGCCCCCTGCCAGAAATCCCAATACACGTGTATACAAATGCAATTATAATTCCCCCTTTTCAATTGAATAAAAAAAAAAAAAAAACGAAGAGGAAAAAGAGGGAAAAAAGAGAAAGAAAGAAAGAAAGAGAAATGGGTAATGTCATTCATGGTGGTATATCATAGTAGTAGTAGTAGTAGTAGTAGTAGTAGTGTAGTTATATCGATTATGGTGTTTGTTTCAACAACTGATACGATATATCGTGCAACACGCGAGTTTCTGCATAGCATAAGAGGGGCCTTTGAATTTTAGAAGAGTATAATAGATATACATATACAAACATACATGCATTTTTCTTTCTCTTTCTATGTAAATATATATGTGTGTGTGTGTGTGTATGACGAAGGACTTTGTTAGGGCTCGTTACAGAAACGCAACGAAACGAGAATCGTGAAACGAGGATTCGCGGTCGAGAAAGCGGACGATGACGTGTCCATGAAATGCATTGAGGATTGTCGGAAGAGAAAAATCATTTTGATAAATTTATACATACATACATATATATATATATAGATGCACACATGTAATTGAAATTAAGGACGTTGAATAAATTCGATAAATGTTTTAACATGTTTTGGTTTAGTGCAGTGTTGAAATGCAAATAAAAATTAAGATAGTAGAAATAAAATAAATAAATAAAATAAAAAATTAAAGATTCTAATTTCATTTTATAAAAAAAAAAAAATCAACCAAAATTATGGAAATAACCATGGATCGTATATCTTTGTCTTTCTTATTGAAAATGAAATAGAGTTTAATTTGATTAGAATTTATAATCAAATTGCAATGTGATATTGGGATCTGTAGCACTTGAATACGCTATCTGGTGGCTAAATTCAAAATTAGAGTAGATAAGTCGAATTGCTACGCCACGTATTGCACGCCATATATATATACACAATAATATTTAGTAATTATATATAATAATTGAAAATGTAGAGATTTAGTAATACAAAAAATATGGGGGTGTAAAGTATTAAACAGAAAATATAATAATAATAATCATAATAATTAACATTCTTGGTAATTATTTAAATGAAGAAAAAGAACAATGAATGAAAGGGATGAAAAGTGAACGACCTTAACGATTAAAATTGCTTTCGTCGAAATATGCGGACGTCAAGTGTTATACTCGAATGAAAAGGTGAAGTAGTGCGTTGTGTTGCTGGTGTAGCATCTTATGGGGGGATGAAATTTTCAAATTTTCTCTCTCTTTCTCTTTCTCTTTTTCAGACAACTTGGCAAAGTGCGAACGTTGCATCAAAGAAGAAGTAAAAGTAGAAGTAGTAAAAAAAGAACAAGAAAAAAAAAATTAAGAAACAAAGACGAGAGGGTTAGACTAGTTTAAGTTTAGTTAGGTTAGGTTAAGTTTATTTCTCGTAGAATGAACACCAACTATGATATTAGAATTACAGATCGTAAGAATAATAATATCATAGTTGTTTATTATTTAAAGTAACGTACGAGTGTTTCATCTTGTCGATTTGAGTTTGTTCTTTGAATGTTTAATCGTGAGTTGGGAGTAGAGGGAAGATGGGGGGCGGCCATTTTTTTTTTTTAATCGATGCAAGAAGATGCAAAGAATTCCAGATAGAACAAAAATATCTTCAATTTCCAAACTATTCAAATTGAACAAATTTCAAAAATTATATTACACTCATTGTTATTATTTTTTTTTTTTATAATTATTTATTAATTATATTACTTGTAAGTTTATAGAAAAAGAAAAAAAATATGTTTTACATATTATAATGTTAATGAAAACAACTTAACGAAAGGTTAATTTAAATGAAACATTTATTAGAAATGAAAATGTTGCGTGTAATCAGAAAAGATTCTTTGCATACACCCACCCACACACACACACACACATACATAAATAGGAATTGTCGCGTGAATAATTAAAAAAAGAAGAAACACCTATCCATGACAAACTATAAACGTGTAAAAAAGATGTTTACAATGGCGATCGTGTAAAGTTAAACGATGATATCAATCTACGATGATTGGTTCACGATGAAAACCAACGACAACCATACATTTTAAAATAATTATTAACATTGTAACCATATTTATTTATTCCTTTTTGCTTTACGATCAATTTGAACATTAAAAAGTGTTTAAAAAAAAAAAAAAAAGATGTAAAAAAATTATTATTATTTATACAGTGTCTCTCTCGTTTCATTAATAATTTTTTAATCTGTTTAAACGGGAAATTCCCTTCTTATAATTACGCGCCTTTTTTTTAATTATATTTTATATTTATTATTTTTTATATATTTATTTATTTAATTATTATTATTATTATTATATTTATTTATAATTAATTTATTATTAATATTTATGTTTAAAATAAATGAAAAGACTATGAAATATCTATTATTTCATTTATTTATATATAAAATACGTAAAATACTTAAAAAAAAACGTAAAATACGTTCGACGTATTTATACGTCCCGTCTGTTTAACAGATTCACAATTATTTCTATGTAACAAGTATAACAATAATAAGATTCCTTTGTATAATTTAATCTAATCAAGCGTTTTATTGTTCAATTTCTTTTGTCTCTCTGTGAAGAAACATGACTTATGTAAACCGTTAATTCTGACGATCTTATGTTAGTGTTTCCGTTTATAGTTGTTTCGTTTACACGCTATACTCATCCGAGGAAGAATTTTTCCCTCTCCCATCTCACCCTTCTACTATCTTTTTTTTTTCTTCTTCTATCTCTAACTCTATCAAGTCGGAAAAATCTAGTATTTTATACACACACACACACAGTCTCGATGATATTACGAATAGATATATATATATATATATATGTTTGTAAATACAGTACCTAACAAAAGTATTTGTTAACACACAGTCGTAATTTTTCTATTACATTAATAATATGATAGATAAAATTAAGATAAAATTTTGACAAATGAGATACTATCTATTTTTATTTAATATTTTGTTTTTTTTTTGTTTTATATAAAATAATTTCACAGTTGCAAATTTAAATATATTTGTTTGTTGATTCATATTTTTTAATTTAGGGGAGGACACACATTTGCAATTTTTTAATAAAATTTTGCAAAATAAGATTATTTAATATTAAATTTCAATATTTTTTGTATTTCCTTAAATTTATATTTTTATTTAGGATAAAGAGAGAAATTTAATTGTACATTTTAACAAATTTATAAAAAGTATTATTACAGCAAAATTTCATCCATGTTTCGTCAATACTTTTGTTAGTCATTGTATATAAAAATATATATATATATGTAAGCAGACACACACATATATATTTGTATACCTATATATATGGCTTATCGTGAAAGGTACAGTCGTGTTCTTGATGCATTACGGTATTACGGATTATCATGGATTACAATTGTGAAGCAAAGAAGGCGTAAATAATCTTTTCCCGTCTTCCTTATTCGTTCTTTATTTCCGGTCAAATTAAAAACAAGCCACGAAGAAAAAGATTATTTCGTTGAAGTACAAAAAAAAAAAAAATAAGATCTCTTTTTTAAATGCATTAAAAAAAAAAAAAAAAGATAAAGAAAAAGAATTTATGGAGAACGGAAACGTGTACGCGATATCCCAACGACAGTTTTATCAAAACTAGTTTTACAAGCACAAAATATATTACTGTATGTGAAAAGGGGGTTACTTTGCAGGTATAAATACAACATAGATACACACACACATATATATATATATATACACCGACACCCCATTCATTCATTTACATGCATACTTTTTACAGATCAATAATCGGAGACACCGCATTGCTGCGATTACCGGCACACACCATGCATCGTCGTAAACCTGACGTCAATGGTGTTACCCTAACTGTACACTAACTTACAAAAGTTAAATACATACTTTGGTTATATATTTTAAATCTATGCGTTTGATTAATTATATCGATTATATTTTAATTTTAATTTATCACCAGGTATAAGTGTTACCTTTAAAAGTTTCATTATCGTACACGCAATTGAAGTAGTTAGTAACTACTCGTAACCGTTAAAAAATTCAAATTTCGCGCGGTTAAATTTATTCGAACAAACTAATCAATACAACAACTGAAACGTATAAAAATTCGTACCTACAATAAATTATCAACCACGAAAATTATTTATATTTTATATTAACTTAACTTAATCCATCAAATATGAACAATAAAAAAAAAAAACATTGAAATTATTTACAATAAACGAACATCCATAAAAAGAAGCCCCAACAGCTCGGAGATTTAAAAGAACAAAAAAAAAAAAGAAAAAGAAATTTTTGTTGGGGGAAAGAATATTTTTCTTTTTTTTTTTTTAAGTCGGTCGTCGTGTTGATAGAAAATGAGAAACGTTTTTGGGTGTATGGGGGGGATACTATGGGGATTACGATCCTGCGCGCGTGTGTTGTACGATTCCCCTTCGGAAGCTGGTTGACGAGGGACGATGAGGGGACTTTGTCGTCGACAACGGACAACGACAACACGACGACGACAACGACAACGACAGCAACTACTACGGGATGACCGGTTTCTACGTCAGAGCAGCAACAGAACAGAACAGAACAGAGCGGCGCACCATGCGACGTCATTCACCGATAAGAGAAAAGAGAAACAGGGATAAGAAGGAAGGCAAAGCACTCGAATAAGAACGAGAAAGATAACTATAGATTATACCACGTGAAATTTTCTTCAACACAGATAACCACCATCATCATCATCATCATCATCATCATTATCATCATCATTATCATCTTCACCATTTCTTCTTCACCACCAATCAACAATTCCAAGGTGGTTTAACAGCAAAAATTCACTATTACATGATATTTTCGTTGAAAAAATCACTCACACACATATACACAACCATAAGTTTTCTTCCACACCACACACAGACACAAAAATGTTTATTTGATAGTTGTTTTGAAATTATTAATTAAAAAAGAAGAAAAGTAACAGAAAATGTTCTTGAAAGTGGTAAACTCGTACGCGACACTAGAGATAATGAAAAACAAGATGGCGCGAAAATTTAAACAACCGACAAAATTTTGTTAGAAAAAAAAATACTTCTCTCGTTGATACGATACAATAATATAATCACAATAAAATCGCCAATAATATAATTGATTTTCTACAAATAATTAATATCTCAATGAATCAGAAAAATCGTACACAATATTGATACAAGTTTGAACGTATTTATGTTATATATATATTTCATTCTACTGTTTCGTAACTGTCGTTATTATAATTTGTGTTGGGTTTCACGAAATTGTCAATAGCAAGTAAAACCTTGAAGAGGTACGTTGGAAAGATCGGAAGGAAAGGTAGATCGGCATGTGATAGTAGTTGTGAGTAAGTGAGTGAGTGAGTAAGTACCTCCTCCTCTTCCTTCTCACTCTTTAGTTAGAGACAAATGACGAGATTATTAACAAGGTACGATACACTGGTGGAAACAACACTGTTCTGTTTCGTGCCCGGCGGTTGCAACGAAAAACCTTGTTCGTTCGTTCGTTTACTTGTTCGTTCACTCTCGTTCGTTCGGTTTGTTCGGTTCGTTCGTACGTTCGTACGTTCGGTCGCTCGCGATGTGTACCAACCGTGAGTCACGAGAGCCGGTGAAGTCGATTCCAGCGCGCCTATCGTAGGCCGGGCTCAAAGTGCAAGTGCCGAAGAAACAGGGCTGTACAACTTCAAACCATTCGCCCCTCTCCCCTTCCCCACCACCACCATTCTTTTATTCATTCCCTATTCGACGCCATATTGAATTTTTTTTCTTCTTCCTTTTTTTCATGAAAACCCTCCATTCCTTTACTTCCTTTACTTCCTTCCTTCCTTCCTTCCTTCCTTTTCAACGAACACATGGGTTCGAATTTTTCAATCATAAGACAGGATGTTTGACAATTATGCCTGTTTGCGTTTGACTAATTTATTTATTGTCTTTGATGTTTCGTAATTTTCAGAGTTGTTTTATTTTATTATTTATTTAAAAAAAGAAAAAAAAAGTGTGACGTTTATTTTGACATAGATAAATATGAAAACCTAAAATTTGACAAATACAAATTCCATCACGATCTCTTCCCTTTGTTAGTTGTTGTTTTGACTATTAGAGTCTTTCCATTATTTTTTTCATAAGCAAGAGTGGAAAACTTGTGGTTAGATCTGGCATTGGATTCGTACGATACAAATTGAATTATTTGATAAAAAATAAAAAAATAAAACAAGGTGATTGGAGCGTTTAATTTTCCATGATGACGAGAAGAGAGAGAGAGAGAGAGAGAGAGAGAGGAGAGGTGGAAAAACCTTGGGGATACGGCACTGAATTGGAACAATACAGATCTATCGGTACGATAAAAGAATGGGTTGTGATAGAGTGGATGGGATGGATGGATGGATGGTCGCGTGTATTTCCTATTCCACGTTTTTTTTTTTCTTTTTATTTTCCCTTCTCTCGTTCCATGTTTAAATAGTCGTCCCACTCCTCGTGCGGGTGGAAGAAAAATAGAAGATACGGAAAGCAAAGCAGCACATGACTAACGATTCGATTCCACTCTCTCTCTCTCTTTCTCTCTTTTTCTCTTTCTCTCTTTCTCAACATGTTGGAAAGAAAACATTTTTGTCTTGTCTTTTATGATATAGCCAGTAGCAGCAAAAGAGTTTTTGCGTTACGCAACTAAAACCCAACTAAAACCAACTCGACTGGCATCACAGATCCGTTGTTGGTTTTCAAGCGAACGTTTTGAAGTTGGTTGTGAATCGTGAAGAACATTTGTTAGCAGCAGAAAGCAACAGCAACAGCAACTTCACCAAGTCAACGTTCTTCTTTCTCTCTCTCTCTCTCTCTCTCTCTCTCTGTCTTTTATTTTTCGTTCGAGAAATCCTTCGTTGGTAGAGAAGGAAAGAGAAAGAGAGATAGGAGTAATATAAATGCTTGTTGTATTATCTTCCCGTTCGATTCCGATCTTTCCCGAGTTATTACGAATGCGTACGATCTTAAACTCGATATCTCGATGATGGTTGTGTTATACTACGGTTAACTTCAGACAATACTTTCACGTTAAAGGTATGGATGATCAAACGCGTATCGCTAACAACATGTTTTGGTTTTTTTAATTTCTAATTTTTTTTCTTTTCTTTATAAAACATCAGATTGCTAATCAAATGTTTTTTTTTTTTTTTTTTACTTTATTATCCATTGATATTTAATTAATTTTATAAAAAGAAATAAAAAAAAACATAGAAAGATAAATATAACAAAATAATGAAATTAATAACGAGAGAATAGAAATCGGAATATAATCAGAATGATAATAGCACGTGAGGATATTAGTTCATGTATCGTTTACCAACATGCAAACTTAAAATATGAAGAAAGAAAAACGTTAAATATTAAAAATTATGAAAGTTAATATATTATTTCTAATATATATATATGCAATGAAAATGAGGCCGATATGAAAGATGAGCGCTTAGTGTTTAGACACGCGTTGTATTTTTTTTTTTTTTTTTTTTTTTTTTTTTTTTTCAAAAAGTTTCTCTCTAAAATACATATATCTTTTCTTAAACACTAGTAATAGTAATAGTAAATAGTAAAAGGTAAAGAATAGTCTTTTGTATAACACGCAAACACGCTTGATCTTATAACACAATCCTTCCAACCCTACACATTCAATACAAACACACACACACACAGAAAGTTTACAAAAAGTTTGAAAAGAAAAAAAAAATACAGAATAATAAAACTAGAAACGATATTTTATCACCAATCATGTTTAACGTTCAATGTGTTATCATATAAAATAAAATAGGTAAAAGTTAGGTTAGGTTATAATTTGATAATTAATAGAAATGAGAATAAAATCAAAGGAGAGAGAAAAAGAGACAAAGAGAGAATTGTGAAGGTTGAGATTTATCTCAACTTTCGATTCTTCCTCTTCAAGGACCTCCTTTTCCTCCTTCTTACCCCCTCCCCCCTCCCCACCCATTCCTCTTTTATCTTCTCTACCCTAACTTGTGAAAAGAGTTTAATCGAACGGATTAAGAAAGTTGGTCGCTCACGAAACGAACGTGCGCTTTCGCGCTTCTTGCATTGCCATGATCGCGACCTTCGTTTTCGAGGAATTGATCTCAAACACGTTTGAAAAAAAAGAAAAAAGAAAAATGAAGAAAATGGTTGCCACGAGTTTAACCAACAAGTAAACGTGTAATTGACTTGTATTGACTATTCTTTTCTACACGTATTTCCATTCATTTTTCTAGTTTTGTGTTTCATTAATCAATCTTTGTGAAGTAAAAAGAGTCATCCATTTTGTTTTTTGAAATGAAAACTTCTTTAGAATCAGGCTGATTTGAAAATCGTGAAACGGAAATACGTAAAATCGATGAAATAAAATTAATTAATTAATTAATTAAATTCAATATATAAAAATTTAGTGTCACAATATGTTTGTCCACTAATAATTTTGAAACTACTCAACTTATTTTAATAAAATTTGCTTTTATTTCACGTGATTTTTTCCAACTTAGCACATAGCACAATATTTTTATTTTTTTTTATTACTAATTTAAAGATTTTTATTTAGAGGTTATTTAAATTCTGTAAGGTTCTTTCAATAGATGACGCTGTATTACAATTCAATTATTTCGAAGCTTGGTTGTCTTTGAAGGTTTCACTTCTATCGCATGTGATCCGCACACATTTGTTTTCTGTTTTTTTTTTTTTTTTTTTTTTTTTTAATTAAATGAACCTTAAACTTCTACAAATGATCTCGAATAGGATTAATTTCATTTGCATATTGTAATAAAAAAAAATAAAAATAGTTGTTCTTGTTATTTTATAAGTTTGAAAAGAGTAATTGGTATTGAAAATGATCTGCTAACTTTTTGATTCAATTTGAAGAATTTCTGACTCTTATGAAGACATTCATTTTTTTTTTTTTTAGGTTAACCTTTGTAGAACACCCTCATCACCTTTCGAATGCATTATTCTTTTTATTTTATTGAGAAATCTTTTTACAAATTAACTTTGAACTTTTCTTCATTCCAATTATCGAATAAAAATCGAATGTTCGCTTGAGAAGAAGAAGAAGAAGAATAAGAATAAGAAGAAGAAGAAGGCTTTTAAATGTTGTACCGTTTGCTTAGTAGATAAAACAGAATCCGTTAGAGATTGATTAAATCGTCTTTACCGAAGGAGAACGATTTAAAAGAAGTTAACGGGGTTTAACGAGAACGATAGATCGAAATAGATAAAACGAATCGAATTAATGGTAATCACTGGTTGTTTTTTTTTCTTTTTCATTTCTTTTTCATCCATTTCAATACATACACAGACAACATAACCTAACCTCGCGTACGAGATTTAATGTTCAACCGATTATCGTTTCTAAAATAGTTGAAAAAAAAAAAAAAAGAAACAAGGATAGAAAAGGTAGACGAGATTGGTGTAACAACTCTCCTTTCCTATCTTAATTAATTGCAATTCAGTGTTTAATCCGTTAAATCCCGTTCGAGAGATCGATTCTTATTCTACTTTCCCCATTTAGATCGATCGATTCTAAATTGATCAATGTTAACAAGAAAAAGAAAGAAAAAGAGAGAGAGAGAGAGAGAGAGAGGATTAAGAGCTTCAATACTTGTCTTGTTGTAAGTTTCGTAAGACGAATTAGTATTCAATTATTCCGATTGGTGCAAGACAAATTCAACACGTTTTTGAAACTTAACAAATGTGAATTGAAATTTTCCAAATGATTCTCAAAGTATTCTAACCTCTTTCTATGACGTTCAATTAATTAAAATAAAACTAAAAATAATAAATGTTTCAATAAAATATAATAATTTAAACGAAAGTATTGTCTTTTTCCAAACGATTTTCTCGATGAATTCTAACCTAACCTCTTTCTATAACGTTCAATCATCAATTAAAATAAAACAAAAATAATAATTGATAAAATAAAATATGAAATAAAATCTAATTTGAATGAAAGTAGATTGTCTTTGATAAAAAAAAAAAAAAAAAGAAAAAAACGAGATTT